AGGTTGTCGATTGTTGGCAGTTGAACTAGAAATGCAAATCGAACCAATGAAAAGAGACCCCATTCTTGGGCCGATGACCTATCCAACCTTACGGTGATTTTGACAGGCTTCGTCGCTCGCATTGCAGCCCATGCACGGAACCCACAGATTTGCCGAACCGGTGTCGAACTGCACTCGGAATTGCTGTTCAGGTGTTCCGATATAGATGAGTCCGTAATAGGCCATCTTAATACTCAGTGTATTGTGTAATTTTTAAGAGAAATTCCTATGAATGTCTCCCTACATTTGAGGAGTAAAGGAGGGGTACGCTGAGGCCCGTCGCATTGGTCGCATTGGTAGCGTTGTCCGAGGCAAACACGTAGCCTTCAATGTACTTTTGCTTCAGGAATTCGGCAATCGCGTTCCCATCAATAGATTTTTGTTTGTAGGCCGATTTCAGCACGGGCACCCTTAATGGAAGGCCGCTATAAAATTTCATACTAACTCGTGTTGGAAGCAGAACTTACCGCAAGAGTGCGTTGATCGTCGCACATATTGCAAAAAGGATGAACAGGAAATGTTCTTTCATAATCTGTGAGGGAAAATAGTATATTTCAGTAAAAAACAGAGTCTGTCCAGAGCGGAAGCTCGTTAAGAAAGTAGAGAAAAAGAAGGTGTGGGATTGGAGTTTTTTGTGAATTGGCCTAGGTCTTTGCTTGTAATTATTTTTCTTTGTTTCGCCTACATAGTGTAACTCAGTAGAGACTGAAATTTATTCGCGTTCTCGTTAAGAAAGAGAGTGCTTAACGAGTTTCCCTTCTCATGAGAATTCCAAGCTGGCCCTCTGTAACATTGATGTTCAGAGAATAAAGGTTTGAACATTGGGATTCTTGAGTTTACCAAGTTTTCAAACTGATTCGCTTGACTAGAACCTGCAAATCATAAAAGAAATGGGGAATGGGCCTTGATTGGGAATGAAGGCTGATATTGAGGTGAATTGATCGAAAGGAGAAATCACGAGTTTCAATGGAGGGTAATTCAGCATGAGGAAATTTTAGTGAACTGATAGCCTCATTAGCATTCAGAAGCTTTTATACTGAACTAGCCCTGTTGTTGTCTTCTTTTGAACTTTAGACCGTAATTATATTTCTATTATATATTGCCGAAAATCTAGTTTTTTAAACCGAGTTGACTATTGTGAAATAGTCCTGCCATGTTGGATAATGTTTAATAATATGTGTGCTTCAAAGCTTCAGCGGATTGGAATTGGGCGAAACAGCAGAGCATAGCAAAACCGGGAGTGGAAGGAGAGAAGTGGTTGGGTTTAGCGGCTAAACCGCGTTGAAGTTGATCAGCCGTGGGTAGACGCACATCTCCCTGTAGGTCCGAATATTGCCGGTGCTTCTCTCAGAACCCTTCATACCCTTTTCCCTAATTGTACCACACTTTGGACGGAGCCACGGCGAGAGCCCCAACTCAGCAAAAAACTTATCGCAAATGAGGAATATGAAGCATCTAGTGTATCACTGCAGACCGTTGATGAATTGAACAATTGAACCGAAAACCTTTCAAGATTCAAGAATATTAACACCGATGTTCCTTACATGACATTGGTGGGGCTTTACATTCTCAAAGGAATAATTAGCGCCATATGGTACGCGGTCGGGTCGAAGCACAGAGTGCCATTTGAACTCGAATGACGGCTTAGCCGACTTCCACACCAAGAAACCTTGAAGAGGTTGCACCATTGGCAATGGAGAAACTTCTTGAGAATTCAAACGATCAGTGCACACTTTGGCATTTTTTGCTTGCTGTAGCCAGATCATTAATGGTACTTAACTACTATAGTTACTGGTACGAAAATCTGCTACTTAACTGACACCTCGTGGGAATATTCCTTCCATGTTATGTCATATGTAACAATATTTATTTTTATTACATTCTAGAAGCCCCATCTTATCGGAATTCTCCTATTTTCGCGATTCTTTTCCAGCCTTAGCACTACCTGCACCATTCCTACCTTACTTCACTTAGAGGCACAGCTCGCGATAATTCAATGGGTGGGTATGTCAATGACGTGTCCGCCTCTCATTTCTTCATTTGATGTCACGTCAGACTGTCTGACGCGACATCAAATGAGAGGCGGACACGTCATTGACATACCCGCCCATTGAATTATCGCAAACTGTGCCTTTAAACTAGATACTGCAAAATGTTCATGAACTTCGCCTTCACCGTGCATACTGAAACAGCACCTATGAGTGGAGAGAATACGTGGTCCCAGCATTTGATTCTATGCAGACACACACAACACGCACATTCACGTACATGCACATATACATACACACACAAAGCACAGACATTAGCTCGTTTCATAAAGAAGGATAAATCCTCCAATTGAAATTCCTCAGTCGACTTCACACAGTTCAGTGCCCTGTAAGTCTAGGTCTAGGTCACGCATAGATGGTCAACTACAGCGCCACACAACTGAAGGTACGCAAGTACGAGCATTACAGTGAGCATGGAATTAGCTCAATTTTACCATAAGTGAAGTGATCGTGGCTTTTGAGGGAATGGAGGAGCGGCACAGGGTAAGGCAAACCCGACACTTGTTAATGATCTTTTTTCCCTAGCCAAATAAAGTTGGTGTGCTCATTTTTCAGACGTACCAATCAGAACTTTTTCAGAAAAGCTCAGTATCCGCTTCTGAAATTCCTAACACTTTGAGTGACGTGTAGATGTAGGCCAGGAGGCGCGGCCGCTGTCGCCGCACTGAAACTAGGTCAACGCGCGCGACGACCATGTCCGGTTCTGATACGATACTAATTCAGTACCTACTCTAGTCCATAGACTTCGCCAGATTTCGTCTGTGATAGCTTAAGATCGTAGCTTATTCTAAGCTCATGTTAGTTGAAATAGCCGCACGATAAATCAGCTTATGTAAGCAATATATTTTTCAAAGCATGAGTAATGCACCATACTGAATAACAACAACTCAGTTTTACAGAAAATGAAGAATCACTTCTATCAAAGTCACACAGTCATGCTTTAACCTAAATTTTCAGGCTATCGAAATGTGTCGTCGGATTCTTTCGAATGGTTCAGCCCCTTCAATTCATTTATACACAATGAATAGAGAAGGAGCGTGCCGGTAAGCGATTAATTATCTTATCGAACTCTTACTAATGTTTTCTGGGCACCGTGCTCTTCATCCCTTACAAAAAGGCGGGTATGAGCGCGATCTTGGTAGTGTAAGAAGTAGAGTGCACCTTGTTTGGACAGCAGAAGAAGAGAGTGGTTTGGCATCCAGAGATGACAAAAGGCAGCAACATTTCAAAACCATGTTTGGAATAGGCTTTCTAACTAGGTTGGAAACCATGCATTTGGAAAAAGGATTCTGAAAGCTGTCGAAGGAACAGGTCACATGAGCACCTAAATTCTTTCTGGATTGCCTGGTGATTTTGTATTTTCCTAAAAGTGACTTTTCAGCGAAATCCTTCAAGAACTAGGGCTTTGGCACAAGCGACCGATGCGTGCCCTACCGTGGGACCCACTTGGATCTAACCATCCTCTAAGGTATCCATGCATGCATTCTATTTCAGTTTTTTCAAGTTTTACCTCTTTTCATTCTAGGTGCAAAGAAGACGTACGACCGATATTTTGGAGTGCCCGACCGAAGAGTTACATCTATCGAACTAGGGTATCGCTGAGATTTACTTATTTGCTCAACTCTTTCCGTACTTACTTGTTCTTCAGGATTGGGACGATTTCCCCAATGGACGATGGGGTAACAGTTCATCACCAGCGTTTGGTGATTTGCAGGATTATTATCTTTTCCACTTGAAGGTAATTTTCAAAGCGAAATGGGAAGCAATATTCTCAAATTCCCAAACTAACAGTGGAGATGTGAACGTATTCGCTTTTTAGGCACAAACTAAAAAGGAGGATCTTCTGAAGATGTATGGTGAAGAAATTAACAGCTTTGACGACGTGAAGAAAGTGTTCGTGAACTTCATCTCTCAAGGACCGAACGATCGAGGGGTCAAGGTCTGTGTGCTGAAAATCCCGACTTCTTAAGCCGTACATAGCTTCTTCACTGCTTTACGTTAGCCTTTTTTTGCAGAAGCGATGCCCGCTTTAGCTTAAGCTTGTGAATGGCTGATATGCTCAAGAATGCTCTGTTGCTCTCAGGTGACAAGTCTACCATGGAATGAACAAGAGAGCGGTGTACAGGCAGAGACGAAGCTGATCAACGAGCAACTACTGTGGTGCAACCAGAATGTTTGTTTTTTCCGAGTATTTTCTCAGTATTGGAAGATTTTCTGTGGTGTATGAAATCGCCAAGTGTTGTCATATTTTAAGGGTATTCTTACGGTGAACAGTCAGCCGTCGGTCAATGGAGCACCGTCTACGGATCCTCTTGTTGGATGGGGGAAACCAGGTGGTTATTGTTATCAGAAGGTTGGTTGCTCAATTTCTATTTATGCAAAACTCTGAGCTTATTTTTCACCATTGAGGTAGAGTTTACAGTTTGATGATCTCAAGCTGTCTCAGAGAGAAGGTGTTTCTGGTTTTCGGTCACTTTTTATTTAATTACTTAAAATTACTATCTTTTTTTGTTCCTAGGGACTTTTTCGCACTATAAATAGTTATCATTTCTGGCCTAAGCTCGAGTCTATAGGCTTTATGTTTGCTCGTTACTGGTTTGTTCCTTGCATGTTTAATGCTTTTACCTGGAATACCCTGCCAAAGTGGAGATGATTGTGATTGCATCTTTTTTGAAGATTTATCTTCTATACTTTTCTAGGCATACCTCGAATGTTTCATCAGCAAAGAGAATGCAAAATCGCTCCTGGAGATTGTCGACGATTACTATCCGCGAGTCAACTATCATCTCATCAATCATGACGTATGTTCGTTACTGTTAAACTTCACAGTGATCTCACTGCGAACATTTGTTCAGGGGAAGGGGGGGGGGGACCACAAAAGTTTCATGATCAAAAGTCATAAACTGGGTCACGTTAAAAAGAAATGGAATGATAAATCCTAGTATATTTCCCTACAAATGTGGTATGTGTTCGCCTTTCACAAAAAGTTTGATTTCAAAGGTCAAACCACGTTTTCGTGCAAATAAAAGGTATGCATGCAATTCAAGCAACGTCCTATAGAGCGTCATTAACCGGTTTGTTGGATATGTATGAATCCGTGAATGTGTAGGGGTGGGGGAGCGTGGAATCGTTCCCTTTCGAGTTCCAGAATCTCAGAGTAGCTGGACCCTGTGACTGTAAGATTCTGGAACTCGGGAAGAATTCCTAACCGCTTCGTTCATTTCCTTTCAATAGTCTCTTATACATTTTTTTCCCAAGTTCTCTTCAAAGCTCTCAGAAATCTGATGTTATAGGGAAGTTTCGATCGCATGAATGGTGAACAGACAACACCAATCGCTGTAACGTGGGGTGTATTCCCGGGAGCTGAAATCGCCCAACCAACGGTTGTGGATCCTCTGGCGTTCCGTGCATGGAAAGACGAAGCGTACGATGCTTGGATCAAGAATTGGTATGACTTCAGATTTTTAGGGTTCTTCACAGCCTTCCTCCTAGACATGTTTAATGAATGTTTTTCAGGGCTACGATCTACCCGAAAGACTCGGTATCCCGCAAGATTATTCAGAAAATACATGACGAATTCTATTTACTGAACTTAGTGGACAATGATTTCCAAAAGCCTGTAATTATCTACGAAGTACTTGAGAAAATGATAAAAAGAACGAAAGAAACAACTAACCCTACTACATAAACTCCCTCTAATTGTAAGTTGTATAAAGCCACTCAAACTACCATTCTCCCCGGGACTCAAAGCCGTTCCTGGAGAAGATTCTGTAAATGATTGACCAGTATGAGAGGCCATGGAAGCCGCTCATTCCGTTTTTATTCTATCAAGTACACTTCAACAATGACCTGCAGTCTATATGCTGCGCTTTTAGTTTTCGGGTGTTTACTAGAGGTGTATTCCCTAAATGCCTTCCATTACTGTTATTTGTTGAAAGTATGGTTGACAAGAAGGGCTGGTAATACTTCTAGGGATTGCTAAAGTCGGTGAGATTACATGTGATAAAAATAAGCTGTTTGTGATATATGTTATAACAACCGGTGTAGCCATGTAGACCTTAACATTACAGATGATATTTATATTTCATTTCGTGAATATTTTGTGAAATAATGTCTCGTTGATGACATATAAAGTATAATTCAGTACTGCCTCTGTTGATGTGATGAAGTACTCATCCTTTAAAAGTCCCACAATGTTGGCTAGCTATGGACAAAGCCTCAAGGTCGGACCAAACTCGAACGTAGCCGTACTCTTTATCCTCTGAAAGTTTATCTGTAAATCCAGCGAAACACCATAATCAGTAATTATGCTGCTTTAGAAGAATATGTAATCAGACGAATCATTTACAGTTGAGAGGATCAGAATCAGTTGGGACTGAAAGTTCATTAGGTCTGTAGGAATTAAAGATTAGGTGAGCCGGATACTGGACCGTCGTCCGATTTTGTGATTACCGTTGTACTAGGACGGTTACGAGCTGGATTCCTAAGGCTGTTAAACGACAGGTCGCCTACCCGATGATTATACTTCTTCCTGGGCGGAAGTAATGTAATGCCTCGTGTCCCTCGAGTAAAGACGACCCAATTACCATTCTGGCTCGCGACAGGGACGAATGGAGACTTTTCTGGTGCCCGGCAGAGACATTGATGATCAAAGAGATGACAGGCGATAAGGGGGTGAATTTTGAGAAATGACGAAGTAAAACTCAAAAATTTTTATGAGAAGGGAAGTAAATTCCAGGGGAAAAAGTTGGCTTCTGTTTTTGTATTTAGTGTAGCGGCTCAGTTTCGAACTGGAGTGATATAATCCTTCAGAAAGCTGAACATGATGAGATATCGCCGCTGTAAAAGGTTCAAATCCGACGAATGAGGCGACCTGCTTAATTCCTAATCTCCAAAGTTCAGTGCAGACAACTACGCCTGGAAGCCATGTTAGGGCCATCCGGTGAGTGTATGTCAAATGGCTGTGAAAATATGGTTGTATGGTGGAAGCATGATTGAATACTGCATTTCATTCCACCACGTGCTGTTACTGTATCACAAGATCTCAGCTTACCATTCAACGCAATTCTGAATTTCTCTGCATGTGTCCTAGTACATTTTTGTTTGAATCCTACGTATACGTAACGGGCTTTACTCGATCGTAGATGTAGCTTCTCAAGTATACCAACATGTGTGGTTACTGTATCATAAAATCTGCGGACTACCGAATCTTCATTTGGTGGTTATGTGGAGCACTCGAATCTTTGAAGAGATGACAATTTCCCTTCTGATTGTGAATGTAGTAAAGCTTCTGTAGAGCAATGATATTCACCAAGCAAGTTGAGCAGCGCCAAGCAGTTAGAAAGTTATCGGCAAAGTCTGGTTGAGTACGGCTGTTATTACTCCAGACAAGCCATGTCAGAGGTGTCAATCCAATAGCAAGGAATAAACCAATTTTCGTCCCTTTATAATTTTGTACCTTCATCACTTCTTATCACTGCCCTTACTATTCTTGTCGAAAGAAACATATCAAAGAGTCAAAGTTAGATCGTCACTAACAAGGCATTAGAATATGTCTGGTTAGAGTGGAAACCATGTAATCAGAGTTGGCCTGAATTAGAGTGATAACAGAACTAGCTTCAATTTATTCTGAGGAACTTGTGACATTGCCTCAAGATCTATTGAAGTCATTGTTAATTTGATGCGGAATTGACGCATTCCTTGGTGGCCCGAGCGAATCCGACACGTTTGTTTCCATGATCGAAGACAGTGTAGAAGTTACGTAGGAAGACGTCACCGAGAATCCAGATAGGCCCCGAAAAGTAATCTTTATTCAAACATGGCGTAGTATTTAATCATGAGGGACATACCAATGGGAGGCGGAAGATCGAGTCCCAAGAAACCGAGTGTACATGTCTGGTTCATCTGAAAAATTACATTGTTGTGTTGGGGTCTTTTCATCAATCCGTCTGAATCGATACACTTGCCAATGTTCATTGGAGAACTCATCTACGTTCACTGAATACCTGGACAACGTAGTCGGAACCTTGAAGAATGAAGTCTTGACCACCAAGGGTAAAGGT